GGATGAGGGGGATAACACTTCTGAGTGTGTCTTTTTATATCATCTAGAATCATGGTAATGTTTCATATACCTCAAAAACAAATAATTAAAACCAACCAGAGTGTGAGGGGAACTCCAATGGAAGGCAAACATAACAGATGAACATAACTGTAACTGAGTAACATAACCACAATGAAGGGAATGAGAATGAAACTAACCTAAGAACTAACCTAAGTTGGAGAATAGTATTTTCAGTGTATGCTACAGGCTCAGGACAAAAGGAACTACTTTCAAGATACTTCCTACTTAGGAAATTTGTTTTTCACAGGGGTGTGTGTGTGTGTGTGTGCGTGCGTGCATGAGCATTCAGTAACTCAGTCATGTCCAATTCTTTACAACCGGATGGACTGTAGCCCTCCAGGCTCTTTTCTGTCTATTGAATTTCCCAGGCAAGAATATTGGAGGGGTATGGGTTAGCAATTCTGAAACTGCTTTCTGTGTATACTATGATCAAGCAAATAAATAAATATACTGTGGATAATGGGAGACAGGTTTCTCACTGAAGGAGAAAGCAGGTTCAAAGAAGCAGAGAGAAGGCTAAAACAAATCTGTGATGGGGTGAAACTGAAAGTGTCAGTACATACCCATGGTTTTTAACATATTATTGACCAGGGGATTTCGGCAGAAACTAACACCTGTGGCCAACAATTTTATATAAATAAATCTTGAGAAATCTCTGGTGTATAAAGTTCAAGTAACAGAAAATGTATTAATACATTTCTAGTCAATAGTGAGTTAATACATATACACATACTAATACAGAAGTACACACAGACATGTACAGATGCACATCGAAGTACATGTATTTCCTGGACCTGTTAAGAGCTTCTAGAAGCAATGACATTCCATAGCATGAGTATACCTAGCACCCAGATCTTCATTTCTAAATACCATTCTCCAGGAAAAGGAATCAGAGCTCCTTGGAGAAATGGCTGATTCTACACCTGGGGCAGGAAAATTAACCAAATAAACCCTGAGCATCCAGTGGTGTCAAAAGTAAGCATGTGCTCAAGAAACAGTGTTGAAAGGACAAAGGAACCAAGCTGAAGGAATTCTGAATCACCAAATCTAGGACAATCTGAGCAACAAGAACACTAACGAATAATAACCTACAGAATAAAACAGTATCCATGGGTCAATACTGATGTAAATAAACAACTGAATAAACAAATAGGGGAGAAGAGGCAGCTCTTCCTTACGGCAGAATTCTAATTAAATGTAGAGGAAACAGTGGAAATAGAAAAGTCACCATTAGGCAAATACCACCGTAATAACTGTTGCATACAAAAATCGTTCATTCAAAGGTGCTAAAATTAGTGTGTGAAGGTGTGATGTAAAAGAGGTTATTCCCATAGTTTCCTAATATTTCCCTCCCGATGAGATACTCTGTAATTATGGACAGAAAAACAGTAACTTTATCGTGGAAAAACATGGCAGACAGACCCCACCTTAACCAAGTGACCCAAGTTAACAGCGCCAGCAGTGAGACATCAATGTCATGCGCCTCCTGGTACCTGAGGCGGGCACACAACATCACTTATGTGGCGTTTTTCCAAGCATGTGTAGCCTCAATCTGATCAGGGGAAAACATCAGACAAACCCAAACGGAGGGGTATTCTACAGTCATCGGCCAGCTATCTTCAAAAGTGCTAAAGTCATGAAAGACACAGAAAGATGATAAACCGTCCCAGATTGAAGGAGACAAGACAACTAAATTACAATGTTGGATACTGAAACTGATGGTGCACTGGAAAAAGGACATCAACATGGCAACTGGTGACATTAAAGTTAAGATTTGCAGAATGGTTAATAGCACTGAATCCGTGTTAATTTCCTGATTTTGACAATTGTGATTAGGTAAGATGGCAACACTAGGGGAAGCTGTGTGAAGCATATGAGGAAATTCTCTGTACTAGTTTTGCAACTTTTCTGTAAGTTAAAAATTATTTCAGTGAAACATTAAAAAAAAAAGACTCCCACTGAAAATATTACCAAAAGCAAGATTTTATTTAATTTAGCGTGTTCCAAAGTTAACTCTTCAGTGGTAGCTTTGTAGTATTGCCTATTACTGGGAAAAGTTTTTCCTTTTAATTTAGTTGACAAAAACCTCCAGTTTTACAAAATAAATTGTTGAGTTAGGGAAGTCACTATAGCATAGGTGAAAAATCCTTTACTTTGTATGTTTGAAATTTTTCATAATAAAAATTTAAAATACATGTTATAGACAAGATTTCTAAGTGCTTATTAATATACTGAAGAGAATTCCCTATTATTTCTATAACTTTCATAAACATTTATACTTTGGTCATAGAATTTTTAGGGCTAGTAGGACCTTAGAAATCAAGATAGCTTTCCTTGTGTCACTGTACACGAAAGAAGCTAAAGCCAGAGAGGCAGCATCCAGTTAGAGTTGGCCACAGTCTGAACCCTCTCTCAGCAAATGGTCTAGGTGCTTCTCCAGCGTTATACATCTGAGCTCTTTTTCATCTATCCTAAACTTATCAAGAATGATATCTAAACACTTTAACTATAATAGAACAGCAATACTATTTATAACTGTTTCCAATTTAAACAAAAGTGAAATCTGAACTAATTTACCAGACCTGTGGAAATGAAAAAATGGGTTCAAAGTAAAATGTAAAATAATGTTGTGGTTTAATATGCAACATTAAAGATGAGAGAATCAACTATTCTAGTTTACATTTTAAAAATGAGCTCTTATTCCTATTGCCATCCTTGTTTAGTGACTTGATTTTTTTAATGTATGTATTTCTTTTTTTGGGCACACAATCCATTTAGTTTAGTCTTTCAATAGTTTATAATTATGACTTCCTACATATTTTTTTGTTAGATATATTCCTAGATATTCTAGTTTATTATGCTATTTAAAATGAAATCTTTATTTTTCAAACTTTAAACTTTTTATTTGGTATTGGAGTATAGCAATTAACAATGTTGCGGTAGTTTCAGATGAAGAGCAAAGGGACTCCGTCTGTACATATACATGTAACCATTCTGCCCCAAACCCCACTCCCATCTTGGCTGGCACAGAACACCGAATAGAGTTCTATGTGCTATAAAATAGGTCCTTGTTTATCCATTTTGAACATAGTAGTGTATACATGACCTTCCCAAAGTCCCTAACTATCCCTTCCTCCCAGAACCGTTTTCTGTTTCTGTTTTATAAGTAAGTTTAGTTGTATCATTTCTTTTTCAATTCCACATATAAGGGGTGTCATACTTCACTCAGTATGACACTCCCTAGCTCTGTCCATGTTGCTGCAAATAGCATGATTTCATTCTTTTTAATGGCTGAGTAATATTCCGGACTGTGCATGTACCACATCTTCTGTATCCATTCCTCTGGCGATGGACATTCAGGTTGTTCCCATGTCTTGGCTACTGTAAACAGTGCTACAATCAATACTGGGGTGCATGTACCCTTTCAAATCATGTTTTCCTCTGGATATATGCCCAGGAGTGGGACTGCAGAGTCATACGGTAGCTCTATTTTTAGTTTTTTAAGGACCTCCATACTGTTCTCCATAGTGGTTATACCAATTTACATTCCCAGCAACAGTGTAGGAAGGTTCCCTTCTCTCCACACCCTCTCCAGCATTTGTTGTTTGTCAATTTTTGACAATAGCCATTCTGACCAGTGTGAGGTGATATCTCATTGAAGTTTTGATTTGCACTTCTCTAGTAACTAGTAATGTTGAACATCTTTTCATGTGCGTGCTGGCCATCTGTATGTCCTCACTGGAGAAATGTCTAGTTAGGTTTTCTGCCCATTTTTTGAGAGGGCTGTTTGTTTTAATGCTGCTAAGCATCAAAGTGTTTATGAATTTTGGAGACTAATCCCTTACTGATGGAAAAAACCTTTTTTTTGGCTGTACCACACGGCTTGCAGGATCTTTAGTTCCCTGACCAGGGATTGAACCCCAGGCCATCGCAGTGAAAGTGCTGAGTCCTAACCACTGGACTGCCAGAGAATTCCCTTGATTTTTTCATTTTAATGGATGCATTTCTTTATGCTTTCTCACAACTGTCTGTTTTGAAGTGCTTCGGCTCAGTAACTGGAATCTTGCAAACATCTATCCGTGCAGAAAGCATTTGCTGAACACCAAATGTGTGTAAAGCTCTGTAAGTGACGCTGGAAACAAAAAGATGAAGAAAGGTTCTCGTCCTCCAGCATGCACTGTGCAGAGGAAAGGAGCAGATGCCAACTGGAGGCTACAGTGACAAGCGGTGTACACAGTGGCACATGGTATGTGTACACCTCCCTCTGGGAGGGAGGAAGCGCACTCAGTTACCCTAGTCCTCATCCTATTCTTACACCCAATTTAGCAAATGGAAAAAAAAAAAAAAACGGAATAGCTTCAGGTCACTCTATATAATGACAAAGCAGAACTTGAACCCAGGTCTCCTGACACCGAACAGAATAAATTATTCCCCAGTTTTGATCTGTCTAAAATGATGAACCATTTTTTATCCTGACAACAGCCTGTGAGATGAGTTTGAGAGCCCTAAACGGCATTACCATCTACCACTCACTCTATTTAGTAAATGTAACCTTGGGTAATTTATGTAACTTCTCCGAACTCACTTTTCTCACCTAGGGATAATTAATCATACCTCAAAAGGTTACTGTGAGAAATAAATGAGTAAATATATAAGGTAACTAATATGGCTATTGGCACACCAACGAGTCCACAGACTAAGAATTCCTTATTGGATGGGCTTACCTTTTACTCACTTTTTTAAAGAGTTTGAAGAAGCTGGTACCGTTCTTGGCACATATAGGTTGAGTGAATATTTACTAAATGAAGTCATTATTAAATAAATGTTGAATTTAAAACTATTCTAGAGATAAATATTCAATACATTTATTCTTTTAAAGAGTTTAGAAAGGAAAGCTCCATTTTGTCCACATAACTGGAACCTCTCACATCAGTACTTACTCTCTACTGTCGCTCCCTCATTTGGGTTTGAATACCCTTCTCCTTTTCGTTTGATTCTTCGAATAATACCTCCATCTTCAAATAAATCCTCTCCTTTGAAATCAAGGAGCTCAATCTAGAAAGGAAAAGAGGATCTGGCTGAGAATGGCCCAAAGTCAATTTAACATACTTAAACACTAGGGCAACTATTCTCCTTTCATTTTACAAAACAAAACTCTTGTTTTATATTTATCTGTGCTTCTCAGTTATTGGAAAAGTAGGGAAAAAAGAACACTGTTCTTTTCAATACCTGGAAAGAACCTTCACGTAACGATAATGTCTAGGACCACATCCTGCGGGGCTACACTGCAAAGACAGACAGGAAATACTAGGAAAACTGCCTTGTGGGCAAAACGCCAGAGTGACACAGTTCTGGCCCAAAACTACTTTGTTTAACTCTAGAGGCCGCCACTTTTTCACCCCAGATTCATGGAATTCCCTTCTTAAAATGTAAGGCTAAACCCTATGAATCAGGCCTACAACCAACTAAAGGTGTATTTTACCTGGGTACAATGTTTCAGGCATTTTCCCTCTTAACTTTTTAATTAAGTGTGGCCAAACATGTGTGACTCAACACAGGATGAATAACATTTTATCACCACCTACTGCTTCTAATGAGGAAGTGAGATCTGGGACAGTTATAAACCTCTGTCATAAAAATAGCTTTACAACTTGCTTTAGGTGTATTTCAACACTTATGTCCCACATTTCCCATCCTGTCCTCTGGTCAGGTCTGAGTATGTCACAACTCACACTGCTGACCAGAACCTTTATTTCTAAGCCCGGTTTCTTTTGTTTATTTGGATATGACCGTTTTGTGCCAGAGACACGTTTCTAAGAAAGCACTGGCACACACCCCTTGGGTTTGTGGGAAACAATTCAAGAAGCCAAGCTCCAAAATAAATAAGTTGGATCCGACTCTCAATAGCAAGCTTAGCTCTTCGTTGCACTGCCTGCCGCTTTGGAGCCAGCACTGTATAGAGCAGATGCTAACAAGGCGACATCACACACATACTTACCTCAAAAAAGAGAGTTGCATTCGAGGGAATTTTGGGGAGACTGCCAGCTGAGCCATATGCATATTCGGGTTTGCACAGTAAATGACAGATCTCCCCTTTCTTCATGGTAGCCACCCCAATGTCCCATGCCTTGATAACTTGGCCTAGGAGAAAGGAAAAAGTGGTTGAAAGCTATAGGCTATATTTTAAGACTTCCACAAAACAAAAATTCAAACACATTTCCCATTCCTTAAACTATATACTACTCAGCTAGGAAGCAGGGGCTACAAAAAAAACTCAGTAAGTAAGAAACAAATTGTGATTTTTTTTTCTGAGAGCTAACAGAGAAGATTCTCTACTGAGAAGCATGAAAGTGGTATCAGATTCTAAACTGCTCAAAGACTAAGTCTTTGAAAAGTGGCAGTAACATAATCTCTGAAATGTGGCTGGGCTGCAGTTGTTGCTTAATTTATAATTTCAACCATAAGAATAAGTACGTGTTTTCTAGGCAGAGATGGAACAAAAATAGTATAGAAAATGGAATTTGTCCTAAGAAAGCTTATAATTTAGTTGGGTAGACAAAAACAATAAACAAGCAGCAGTCGGAAAAGTATAAATTGCATAAAACGGCCCATGAAACAGATTTCTCCTCAAAGTTTAGAGTAAAAAAAAAGTGGTTTTTATTTTTCTAAAAAACCAGAATGATGTGTGTCCTCTTCTGCCAAATCACAAGGACTACAGAGCTCAGGTTTGTTTTTTTTTTTTTTGCTTACTTCCAGGAAACTAAAAGTTTACTGCTTAACTGTAAAACTGTATTATTATTTTTTTTTTTATATGGACCATTTCTAAAGTCTTTATTGAATTGGTTACACTACTGCTTCTGTTTTATTGTTCTGAATTTTTTGGCCACAGGCACGCAGGATCTTAGCTCCTGACCAGGGATCAAACCCACACCCCTCATACTGGAAAGTGAAGTCTTAACCACTGGACCACCAGGGAAGAAACTTAACCTACATAATTGTATCTTACAATAAGCAGTCCCAAATCCTTTGGAAAACAACAGAATATGTACAAAACTTCAAGGGATGATATACAAATTTGAGGTGCTCTGTCAAAGACTTAAGTATTCAAAGTGAGACCAGGTGAGCAATGAACACCAGAAAAAGCAAATTCTGAAGACAGCTGTTATCTTGAACTGAGAGCTGATGGCAGGATTACAGTAAGGATGATTAGGACAAGGGGAACTCTACACCAGGGTAGGTAAGTAGAGATGGACAAAGCACTTGTGGCTCATGACTTCAGCTTAGCCTTAAGCATCACAACTTTTCAAAATGTCAGCTATACTTATTTTGAAGTATACGGAAGGTATACATGCCTATTTTTACGAACACCTAAGAGAGAAAAATATAAGTGAAAAGTCATTCATTCCCTCCTTATAAGAAGCCACTGTTACATTTCCTTTTTGTATCTTTCCAGTGTGCACTGTTGCTTTTTAAAAAATTTAAAACAAAAGGACAGCATACTATACATTCAGGTCAGAACTGCCTTTTCATTATATAGATTCTTATATACATATATTTTCATTATATATAAATATGACATTATAAAATGCTATAAATATATGTTTATAATTTATATATGTGTGTATATATGCATATACATGCACACTTATATCTTTATTCATCAGCTGATAGGAGGATATGAATTTTAGGGGTTAGAAGTACAGCCTGCTTTAACTCCAGACTGCGTAGATTAGAATACCAGGTCTGCCCCATATTAGTTGTATGACCTTGTACAAGTTTCCTTGTCTGCAATATGTAGATAATAATAGTACTTGCCATATAGTTCTTGTAAGAATTCAAGTGCCTGGCATACGATATACACTGAATAAAGAACAGTCGTCATCATAATCATCATAAATACATACTGACCTACTTCATTCTCAGTGACTTCAGAATATTCCAGTCACTCTACTCTGAAACATTATTATCAACAGTACTCTAATAAGGATTTTTGTCCCTTATGTTTGCCTATTTTGTGCAAGTATATTCGGAGAGCAAATTCCTAGAAGTGCAAAGGTGATGTGAACTTTCAATTTGATAGATATTGCCCAACTGCCCTTCCAAAAGGGCTACATCAGTATATATGCCCACACATGGTTCAAAAGTGAAAACAGTCTACAATCTTCAGAAGAAATGTAAAGTCTGCTTCTTCACAGTCACTGATGCTCCTCAAAGGCTGTGACTGGTTTTAGTGTGGTCCATATAGACATTTTTTCTCTCAACTCTGCTATTTTAAGACCAATAATACCTTACACCCTCTTTTTTTGGAAAAAGAGGAAATCATTATATTGTGGGGGTACTACTATATATATGTTCAAGACATTTAGCCAATTACTGAGGAACAAAGGTCTGTCCAGGTTCTAAAAATTTGAAAGTGGCTGTTCCCTTCTTCCCTCTAAGAAGCATGCAACGTAGTCTGGCTAGTGCAGCAGAAAAGACACATGCCCTGCTTTGTTTTTTTAAGTGAACACCAACACAGAATACAAATAGTGGCTTTTGCCTTGGGCTGGGGATTGGAGCAATCAGCAAAAGTTTAATTCACAGATGATGTCTATGGTAGGCCTGAGAAGCTGGAAACAGCAGTCTGGCTATTAAATTCACAGGAACCCCAAGCTATATAAATCATGTCTGTGCCTTTGGCTTTTCTTCTCATTCAGGAACATTTAAGTTTCTCTTACACAGAGCTTCAGATACTGAATGAAACATGCTGAGCAAAGAGCCAGCCTGATATGAACATGGATATGTTTCTAAAACTGTCCATCTTGGGCCTCTTCATAAAAAACACTTCCCCAATTTAAAAAAAAAAACAAACAAAAACTCATTATAGAACACTTGGAATATATATAAAAACATAGAGAATACAATAAGGAAAAAAAAAATCTCTGCAATTTCAGCATCTGGGGTAAATTGTCAATTTCCTGGTTCATTTTCTTCCAATTGTGTATGTCTTTCTTTACATATTAAATTTTTGTATATACATTCTTAAAATTCTGGTCATAGTTTATTTGATTTTGTAGCCTATTCTTTACACTTACATTATATGGGCATTTTTTTCTGTTAAAAGACAATATCTGAAAATATGACTTTTAATAGCTATATGCTATTTCATCTTTTGAATATGCCATACTTTCATTACTCCCCTAATAAACATTTAGACTTTTTAATAAAAGCCTCTCACCTGACTCATTAGGACCAAGGTTGTAGGTTAGTTTAAAATGTTGTTTTGAGTGAAGAATCATAAAAAGAACACATACATGATGTCAACTTTTTTTAAACTTAAAACCTATCAAAGTGTATTAATTCACTAATTCTGTGTTAGAGGGCCAAGGCCTTGTCAATGAGTGTAATAAGAGTCCTATTTCATCTTCACTATATAAATCACACTTACAGTATAGCACTTGCAATTTACAATGTGGATATCTTTAAAGTGGAGTAAGAGTTAGAAGACACTTGTTATCAGTATGTAGAATCCTTCTGGTAAAAATTTGTTCTGAATGGACTACTTATTTCACCTGGCATTTACCCACCCCTAATTCAATAGCCATTTTAAAAAGACTTTTAGCAATTCACTTTAATTAAGTCTTTCCAAAGATGTTCAACTTAGTTTTCATAGAAATAATTCCCCTTTTTATTACACTAATTTCAGTGTTTCATATACTATCTAATGAAACTGCATAATTACAAAAAGGATACTGGATATAAGCAAGTTTAAACTGATTCTTAGTAAGAATCTGAGAAAGAAAAAAGCGGGCCCTAATGTCTGGAAACTGCCTGACACAGCTCGGCCTTGGTGATTCTGAAATGGGCCCAGGGCACCCAGCTAGGCCATGCTATTCTCCTGTTGGACATAACAATCTCACAAAACATCAACATCGGACAGGGTTACTCTGAGACCATGAAAAAGTGAGACAAAAGCACACTTCAAAATTTTGTCTGAGCATGGACAAAAAACAAGGTCCCTGTGCAACCTACAAAATACCAAACATCCCCCTCTCCTGGTGACAGGAGTGACTGCCACTTCTCTACAGGTACAGCTCAAGCCTCACTCCAGTCAGCCCTCCTCCTAGCACAGATCTGCTAAGCTACCCAAAGAATCATCTGCATTCCCACAGTATCAATCCAGAGCAAATCCCTTCTTCCTTAAACTCTTACCAAATCACCTAATACAAGCCCCAATCCTATAGGCCTTTTGAACGCTCTTGCTGGGACACCCCCGGCTTCCCACGGTGTACAGGCTGTATAAGTAATAAATGCAACCTGTTCACTACAGTTGTGATGCTAGTGGTCTGTGTCTGAAGGACACTGATGACTCTCTCAGCTGGCTGAGGCAGAGCGCAGGGCCACAGCAAAGAACAGGAGACAAGCAGTATCACCCAGCGCCTTTACAAGCAGAATGGAGAGCACCAGTTACACTGGAGTTGGTTAAGTAAGCTCCTACCTATTTCCTTAGAACTGTTTCCTAAAAGCAGATTTACAGGGTCAAAGCAAAAACATTTTTAAGATTCTTGATTTTGGGGGATCTTTTGGTCTCTTTAGGGTCTTAATTATAGGTATAATACACCAAGAATATAAAAACACAATTTATTCTCCCACTTGTTCTGGACTTAGTTTTACTACCGCAAGTACAATTGATCAATTTCAGCAGTCCTATTCTATTAGAAACAAAATATGAAACGAGAATATATACTTAAAACTCAGTATAAAAACAATGCACTGTACTTTTTTCTTCTTTCTGCAGAGCAATATATAATTTTTTCTAATTAAAAAAAAACACAAATTTTATAGGTTCAATGTAGGTTCATCAGTTATAACAAGTATACCACCCTGGAGGGGGGGGTGTTGAAAAAAGGCAAAGACTAAATTGTGGTAATGTACATAAAAATGACCATTTCAACCATTAAGTATACAGTTCAGTTATGTATAGTCAAACTGTTGTGTGACTACAATGTCCACAATTTTTCATCTTGCAACACTAGAACTCCACTCACTAAAACTCATTTCCTCCTGCCCCAAGTCTCTGGCAAGATTTCATTCTACTTTCTGTTTTATGAATTGGATTACTCTAGATTTCTCTAGATATTAGTGGGATCATGCACAATTTG